CCTGTCCCTCTCGCAGAACCTGCAGTATAATCCTTTACCAGGGGAAGGGCTGACACCAACAGCAGCGAAACACAGCCAGACCCCGACACTAAATCAGATCAGAGACAGGCCTCTCTGTCCAAAGTTAGAGACTATTACATATATATCATGCTGAAAGGGTAATCACTTTCATCATAGCAATAGAATTATGGTGTTTACCCATTTCCTTGCTTTACAGAAAGTAATAACCTTATAGTAAAAATAATATTAGGATATTTTATGTATTTTTATTAAGGATATTTTTATGTACTATAGTTTAGGCTAAAATATTTATGATAAGAATATCTAAATAAACAAAGCAGGCAAATGATACTAAAATTACACACAGCTTCACCTTTAGCTTGTGCTTGATGTAAACGTGCTGCTTTTCACCTTTACGAACTGCTTAACCAAACACTGATGTAGCCTGACAACTTGGGATCCTTCAACAACATTCACCGAATACCTGGACTGATAAACTACCATCACCCAGATGAGCAAACCCAAAAAAACCACTTCTGTCATTTGTAAACTTTTCTTTTGTTCACGTGTCATAGTGACCATGGACGTGGTCCAGAAATAGCGCAGTCTTTACATGTGATTTATCACGACACTTCTATGCTTTATAATATGGTCATTCTGGAAGAACAGTTCTGTATATAAAAGCCAGGCTTCCTCAATGATTCCACAATCAGGATCCCCATCAGGGACAGGCTGACACTTTGCAGATTTCCTCTTACTCTCTAGTACCAAAGAGCCTGCAGTCACATGATGACTGGGGATAGGAACAGGATATACAGGTCTAGTGTGAGGCCTGATATATCTCATTTACAGTACATTGGTAGTGTATTTTCATTAATTCATTAAAAAAAACAAATAAAAAATGGAACACAGAAAATATTTAAAGCTTTAGTTTTCTGTAGTACTGGCTACACAGGAAGGAAGTTGATACTGTAACTTGCCACTTCATTTTTGGGTCATGTTACATGTTTGTCTGAAAATTACTGTGCATCCTAGTCTTAGGTATAATGCAAGTATCCTGGTAAGGATATTTGCACAGCACCATGTTTAAGGACTCAATATGTTATCCTTAACTGTTTCTCTTCGCAAATGGTAAAAAGAAAACCTGTGAACACCATTAGAGTTCTGGAACATCTTGAAAACAGAGCCAAATAAACTTGCTCTTAGAATTTGACCCCTAATCATGTGCCAAACAGCATGCATTGCTTTAAAATCCCCCAATGACACCCAACTGACAGACTGCCTGGCTCTTCAAAACTGCAGTTTGACACTTGCTGACAGGCAACAATGTCTTTTCAATATGACACAAACACCTGATTTATGAACTTCAGAAGCAAGTGATGGAGTCGACATGTAAAAACAGAGTTTTTACAGTGCTGGAAAATCAGGGGAGGTGCAAAGAATTCCGTAAAGCACACTGGGATGGGTTTCAGCTAATGTGATACACACACACAAAAAAGCTGACTGACGCTCCTACTGAGCTGCAGTAGAACTGTATCTGTTTGGCAGGGAAATTAAAATAGCATAAAAAACTGATGATATATTGGAACATTTTTATCAAGTTTGTTACCCTTTGAAAGAATGACTAATTTGATCAACTACATTTAAGGCCATTTCGATAAAAACATAACATTTTATTAGATGTGACAGTCAAGATTTTAGTGCACGATGATCTTAGTATCACAGTTACTGACTAGTTTTATCTTTCAAAATCCAATGAATAATTTAATTTATATTTTTCATGTGCATGATGCAAACGCCATGTGTATGTTTCATAGCTTTCTACAACATAGATTTTAATATGTGGGGAAGAATAACTCACCTTCTGTTACCACTGTGTTTCATCCATAGCTACTGGTTATTAGGAACCTTAACCAAACTTCCTGCTTTGTAACAAAAATTAATAAAAAGCAATGGAATTACACTGATCAAGGCAGGCTGCCGGCGCTCAGATTCCTTCTGACTTACATCGCGTTGTGCACAGTGAGAAAGAGACGTATGTTGAGACTTGCAGCTCCTAATGATTCTCCGAGGTGGAATATTGGATGATGAGATAACCAATGCCAATGATGTCATGCTCCAGACAACCACAGTGCTGTCGCTGGGAGCGAGAGAGCAGGGAGGGTACAGGCTACAGCACACACTGAGTCATCTGCACGTTTACCCCTGGGCACCTTACACATGGTGAATTATGAGATTACAGCAACTGATTACCTTCCGTAAATAATTTATTAATCTCTCATCACCTGAAGTACCAGACTGCTGTTTGTGTTTTCTTTCAAAGAAAGGAAGATTTATTTATAGTGAGGAAGACATATTTTAAAAGTGATTAGAATAAAAAGTAATAAATAATAATTGTTTGTCATTCCTATAGCGGTTTTCTTCCCAAAGGATCCTAACCACTTAAAGAGCGGACTGTTCATCCAGCACCTATCTGGTGAAGCATGGCAGTTATCACATAGGCCCAGAGGGCCCACTACAGAGTGGTTCAAGTACAGAAGTAAAAAAATCACTTTACCAGCTGAATTAAGTAGGGATTTTAAGTAGTCCAGATTGTGCAAGGCCACAGTGAAATTTAGCCATGACACCAGAGATAACTGCCCTACTCTTAGGAATAATGCCATAATGTTTTTAATGACCAATCAGTCAAAACCTCGGTTTCATGTCTCATGCAAAGGACAGTACCTCCTACAGCATACCTTCTAATTCGGTATTCAATTTTGGGCCTTGTGCTACCTACAGGTCCACTAACACCAACATTAGCAGCAATCTGATTTTCCTTCAAGATCTCCCATCCATGTACTGATCAGGGCCAAGCTTGCTTAGCTTCTGAGGTTTGACAAAATCAGGCTACAAGGTGGTAACACATTGTCATGACAGTGAAATACACATTTACAACCAATGTGACAAGAGCATATACCACAAATACGCTTCTTTCAAAGTTAATGCACTTTAGAAAGCATGTTTTACAAACTATATATTTTTTAACATAGGTATAATATCTGAGTATTAGAAATATGTCACTCAATTACTTAAATTCGCAGAATGTAATGGAAAAACAAAACTACACTAGTAGTTTTCAAATTATGCAAGCACGAATTAAACATACCATGCCACATTATATCATACAACACATTAAAATAATTACTGCCCACATTAAGAGAAAAGATTGCACAATTCTAACTGCCCCATGGGTGTCCTAAGAGACAGATTTCTGCTTCTGAGTTAACTGACATCCTTCTGTACCATCAATGGAATTGCAAGTTAAGCTACCATAGATAAAGTTATTCGTAATGAGGAGACTTTTGTTTTCCATTTTAAAGAAAGTTACAGCCTATTAAAATAGGTTCTTCAAGTGCACATTTAATTTTATTACAAGATATTTTCTCTCCATTGAGGCAGGTTTGCCTTTGATATATTTCCATCCTATAATCGTGTAACTGGCAGGGACTGGGAGTATTCATCCATCACCCCCTGGGGTTGCAATGTTTAAAACATGTCTGTTTCTTGGATGTTTTTCTTGAAAGTGGCAGCACCCAACCAACCTACCAGCACAAATGAAGAACAACAGACCATGCTGCTTTCATCTGTAGTCATGCTTGAAACAGTAAATGACACATCAAGGCGTAAAGGCAAAACTGTCTTGGACACAGAATTGACTGATCAAAAGTTGCACCTTGTATCATACAGCAGTGAGTTGGCATGCCTGTCTGTGCACTTTTCTGCTCACTCTAGTGTAGAAAAACTAAGTACATATATGTCATTTTTAATTACACATGAAGGCCACTCTGCCCATCACCGAGACTTAATTTACACCAAGGGAATCATTCTTGGCCTCTTCAAATGCCTCCCTGAGACAACTGCAGCTTTTTATTGACTATGGCGTCTCACTGCCGTCTGCGAAAACTTTGAAAACAAGAAAAACATATATTTTTTAAACCCTACCAGTCAGATTTATAGTCTTTACTATGAGCACTCCAGATCTAAGTACACAGATGAGTCATATATCTACAAGCATGAAAAAAAAACATTTAACTGACTTCACAATGTAAGACATGCTGCGAGTAACTCCCTTAACACCTGGATTCTACCTGCCTGTATTTCCATGGAAAATAATGAAAAACTACTGCCCCAACATATCACTTGATCCACAAAAGTTGTCCAAAACAACTTTTCCAATACTTGTGTGTTAAAAAGAAAAAATGATTAAAGTAAAAGGCTAGATTTTAAATTCTAACTTTGAGCCTAACATAAAGATTGAAGGTGGCTGAATCAGAATTGGCATTTTGTATAAACCATAAAAGACACATATGAGGTAAACAAGAATCAAAATCACACTGAGGAATTCTCAAATGGCCTCATTTTCAAAAGAAAAACACTGCAATAAAGATCAATTTTAGTAGCATTTTACCTGATTGTTTTTTTTTCTATCTTACATCTGAGCTCACGTTCATAATTCCCTTCCTAATAATACATGCCTAAAATACATCATTATAATGTCATTTCACAAGAGTACAATGAAACAGAATTTTATCAACATGGTGAAATTTGTTTATTAATTATAAACACATTCGAAATTGAAGCACATTGATTCATTTCTATACAAGTCTTAGCGAAATTTGCTAAACTCTGAACTTTTCTCAAAGGTACTGTGCTGCTCTCTGTGCTTACCACACAATTTACATAGTAAGAAGGCAAACTGGCAATAGTGAGTTACAGGTTTACGAAAGTGAACTATGTTTAGTGGAATGGAAGTGTTGATTTTTACATAACACATAACATGGCATGGTGTTGCTGCTGTTTTGCTTGTGTGCTTAGTCCATGGGAGCAGTTCCAAAACATTAAGCACCAGATCAACATTCACGCAGTCCTACATGTTGCTGAACAGCACCCATGTGCTTCATGTGATGGCTTGTGCAGACGACAGTGAATGTACAGCTGGCCTCGTGTTGTGCTTACAGGCTCCTCGTCTCTCCGTGCCTACCCCCTGCTCTCCGTCATCACACGCCAGCCCCCCAGCCTCCCCCACCTGCCCCAGCCCTCTCCCCAGACCCGGGTCCCGCTGCCCCTGCTCTCCCCGTCGCCGAACGGCCTCTCCGGCTCCCGCCCCGAGCCCCCCGCCAGCGAGACCCCCGTGAGCATCAGCAGCGAGTCCGAGACGGAGCAGAGCGCCCCCCGGCTGAAGAAGCCGCGTCGCAGCCGCACCATCTTCACCGAGCTGCAGCTCATGGGGCTGGAGAAGAAATTCCAGAGGCAGAAGTACTTGTCCACTCCAGACAGGTAAGCGAGCGGTGCCACTTTTTATCCGTGGTACAGAATAGCACCTGGACGATTACAGAAGAGCCGTGTGTGAGTGCGGGGTCTCTTGATCAGCCAATCAGAGCTGCAACTGTAGCTGCCCGAGGTGGACAGCCTGGTGCCTCTAGAGAGAAATTGAGAGAATGTGTGTCCAGTCGTCATCTCTGTTCCCTACCATGCAAGTGTAAGTGTAGTCTTGGTGAGCTAGACTGATCAAGAATTGGGAACTCTGAATTGTGAGGGTGGGTAAAGAAAAACACTGTTAGGAAGGTTTTCTCAGCACGGCCTGCCTTCAACACTTACATGTTCTCCAGTCCGTTCCTGAAAACATTCCTTAACTTTACTGCAGTGAAAAAATACTGAAAATCAAATTCTTGGTACTTTTTTTTCTGAAAAGACTTAAAACTTTCATAAAAAGCCCCTGCACCATTGAGATCTCACTCATGAATAAGCTGATTTTCATGCTTTTTTTATTTAGACTTATTATTAACTGTCAAGGATTATTGAGTCTTACACAGAACAGCCTGGGAAAATGAGACATAAACAAAGTGTTTCATCATTGTCGCTTTTTTTTTCATTTCTTATAAGATCACACAGTCTTGATTCAGTGTTTGGAGTTCATAGCTACTTTATTAATGTAGTTATGATCTCATTTTAAAGTCATACTTACATTGTAGTTAGAGTGATTAATGCTTTTCTTAGATTTAATGTGTGGTTCACTATAACCATTTACTGGAAACATTTCAAGCAATCACACTGTTCTGAGACAAAGTTTAATTAAAATCCCTCTTGGGTTTTGAAAGCAAGAACTTTTTTTTTCAACCTACCCTACAGTTAAAAACGGGAGGGAAAAATATACGAATTATGAGTTACATTGCCTGCCATTATCTTACAAAATGGAAAATAAAATGTATTGAGTTCATGACCATGTCATATTTTTCACTTGCCTTTGAGCACATGTGGTGTTTTGAATGCATACCAAATGTACCTCAATATTTACACTAAGATACGTTTAATTTACTTATTTAAATTTGGTCAATAAACAAAATAAAAATTTTCCAGGGAAGCCCAAATGGATTTTCTCAACAACAAAGCTAGTATCTGATAACTGGCCATACTGTGTGTGTGCACGTGTGTGAGTGTATGTGCACTGGTGAGTGTGAACGTGTGTGATATGAATGCACTGTACATTCAAATTAATGTGTGCATGGTTGATATGTGTGTGTGTACAGTATGTGCAAGTTTAAGTGTGCCCTGCATGGGTGTATGTGATGTGTGTGAGAGATCACGTGCACTTAAAATGCTCATGGGGGTACAGTGATGAGCATGGTTTATTGTCAGGCCTCAGTCACAGGGCTGTGGTTATTCCAGTATCATCACTATCGATATTAGAGAGTCAGGGGAGGGTAGTCTCACTTTGGAAAACTGAAACACAAAAGTTTCAATAAAGACTGTAAAGAGCAGCGTTTGTGTCAAGTTTCCACCTGCCTTGTAAGCTTTGGGAGTCCTTGTCTGAGGTGAATTTTGACTCGGAAAATGGGAATGTATTTGTTGACTTAGTTTTCATGGCAACGAGTTGCAGGTGTATGTTACTCCTGGAAAATTTCACATAGTCCCAATATGACAAAGCACACCTCTCTGTCTTAGACTCTCTCCACTCCTTGTTTGTTTGGGCTTCGGCAAGCCAATGAAGGCATGCTTCTCAAGTGAGATAATGGCGTGGGCAACACAATGGGTGAGATTGTGACAATAAGCTCGGGGAGACAAAGCCAGATATCATGTCCAAATCAGACTCTGGTGTAATAAGATTATTACATTTTGAACTCGCGAAAAATATTCATTGCAAAATTCTGAATGTTGATGTCCAGCATCAATTACAAAAGGATGGATGCACCCCTATTTTAAAGTACACAAGTATTCTCAGGAAGAAAATGCCATTGCACAGTCTGAAGCTCTGACTCACTATTATGACAACAGTGAATTAAAATAACAATAATAATCTTCCAAACATAACAATGAAATTATTATTCAATACCACCATCATCCAAGTATTCACAGTACGTGCACTACACAATACACTGCATGGAATTAACCCTTAAACCTGACAAAGTGCTTCAAGTGAGGTCAGCTAGAATAATTTATCTTTTCTGTTGCTCATGTGGCCAGCAGTGTTTCCCTACAGAGAAAATTAATGATGATAATTGGCTGTAAGGCAGTGCAGTCTTACCCATTTGTTACTATTAAGTACTAAAGTAAGTGCTTGCTTCCACATTTCATGTACTTTTGTCATCTCTTAAGAGTTCACAGTGAACACAGAAATAGGATTGATAACAGACATTTGGAGTGCCAGAGCTTTTAATTTTAACCTGGTAGTTTCTAACCCAGTGCATACCTTTTGCAATGATCTATATTAAGTGCTTTAAGGGTCATCCAACATGACTATATTATACTGGCCACAGCAGCAATCGCTACCTCTCCGGGGGATTTCATTAAAGGAGATAAACTCTCAGGGCAGAAGATTTTGATTGACTGACTGAAACAGAAAAGGAGGGACTGGTGAAGGTCGAGTGGTAATCTCCTCATTTCCTGAAGATATTTCATTGCAGTTAAAATAAAAGAAAGATCACAGTACTCTAGGGCAAAGGTGGAAAATCTTTTAATTAGAATGTTAAAAAAACACAAAAGAGTGCTGAATTAAGCTATTATAAATAAATAAAAGAAAGCCTTCGATTATTTTTTATGCCCTTTCTTGTCCTCGTTCAGTATTCCAATCTCAGCTACGCTCTCTGTTCCTGGGAACTGGGCATAGCTGCAGGGTATTGTATTGCTGGCAAACTGATATTTTAATTAGTCATGGATGCATGCATGTGTTCTGGAAGTGTTCTGGGCTCCATCGAATGTTTAGCGATGGGGGCTTTGATTTACTTATTTTATTATCTGCAGATGTGAAGGCAAGGACTCCCCTGGGTCAGTGTTTGTCTGTTCATTCCTCTGCCAATAAAAAGCCAAAATTCAAATTTACAACCTGCGCAAATGTGATCACAGAATCTGACATCCTCCCTGTTCTCAATAGATATGACATTCCGACTACACAAAGGCATACTCATGCAGACTGCTTTGTATACTACAGTTACTTTGACAGCTCTCAAGATAAGAATCAGGTCTCTGTTTGAATAAAACAAGAACAGACTTACTTAAATGAATTATAAAATCATTTTTCATGTTATTTTATCCATATTCTTGTCCGTATTTTGTATGTTTTATTATTTTGTTGAGTGGTCTGAGCCAATGTACAGTAGCATGCCAGCACTTGTACTAGCAGGGTAATTCTAAGGACTAGCCTGGGAAATAGTAGCAGAGAAATGATAAAGATGAGCTGCTGATGTGGAGGTAGCACAAGAAACACAAGATTATAAAAAGTGTGATCAGTTCATTTGTTTCCCACCAGGCTGGACTTGGCTCAGTCCCTGGGGCTGACGCAACTGCAGGTCAAGACCTGGTACCAGAACCGCCGCATGAAGTGGAAGAAGATGGTAAGGCTGTTATGCCACGGTGGCCCAGAAGACAAAGGGAAGGGGGTCATCAATACCACAGACACAGGGGAACATGAATGTCGACTTTCTACTGCGTCATTGTCACAGAGCATAATGAAAACATGAAAACAAAATTGAGAAATTAATGTTATTTTTGCTGCAAAAAGTTTTTATGTCGTAAAGTAATGTACATCCTGAGAAACAGGTTCTGGAGCCTCTAGTTATTGCATAAAGAGCCTTAGAGCCTATTTTACAAGTGCTGTCTAGATTCATTTTATTTTTACAAATTCTAATCCACCACAACCCCATCATTATCCTTCAAGGTGCTCAAAGGAGGCCAGGAAGCCCCCACGAAACCTAAAGGCCGCCCTAAGAAGAACTCCATCCCCACGACGGAGGAGATCGAGGCTGAGGAGAGACTGGCACGGCAGGCAGAGGAACAGCAGGCAGCATCGGGCCAAACGGAGGTGCCAGCTTCCCAGCTGCAGGATCACAGCGCATCTGCTGCCGACACCAGCGGCCTCCCAGAGCCGGAGCCCCCGACGCGAGAGCAGGCTCCTCTGCAGCAGCAGTTAGAGAAGCCATCGTCAAGCTAAAACAGCCAACCCCCAGTTCTGAGGAAAGACTCTAAATCACACAAGCACTTAGTGTCTCGGAAACACTGCGGCACAACGGACACTGTGACTCGACTACTGCTCCTCACGCCTCTGTGCTCACTAAGGTTTGATAAAGGCCAAACTGGAAAGTACAGCAATGACTGGAGGAAGCGACTGCAGCAGAGCACTTCTGAGAATCTTCCAGCTGTTGTAATTAACGTCTCCCCGCACCTTATGGAAACAGAACTCTGTTTTAGTTTCTTACATATGACAAACCTCTGCTGACATCAAGTCTACAGAATGTCCACCAAGTGCTGTATATTTTGCCTCTGCCAGCAGAGCCCTGTGGGTAATTCCATTAAGTTCCGCCTCAGAGATCAGTGTTTTATTGTGCATAAAATAGCACTGCTACTCCCTAATCTTCAGACAAACTATTTTTACTGGGAAAGGCCAATTCCCAGATCAGGTTTGTCTGGCCTGCAAAGGCTAAACTGTTGGCGTTTGTATATTTTCTTCACATTAAAAAATACAACGCTATTCAAGATGTATTTATTCAGATGAAAAGAAAAATTTAACTGATAACAATAACGAGCAAAGAATTACTTTCCTGTAAAGTGAATAATGCAAAGTATTATATTCAATATGGGAAGATTTACAATATTTGAAAGTGTTTTAATGGCTTATATGTACCTAGATATGCCTCTGGCTACAGGCTAGACTGGAATGATGGGTTTTGAGATCTTCTATGTAGATAAAACAACGTCAAGAGAACAGAAATTAACATTGTACTTTAAAACGTGCCTTTGTTCAAAATCCAAACACAAAGTGACAATAGTGATATGTTTGTCCTGTTAAGGTATTGGTTTTAAGATTATATTTCTTTTGGTAAAGATGATTTGTAGTCTTTAAGAACAAAAGTTAGGTGATTCCACAAAGATCTGTCTAGTTTGTTCAAGAATTCTACTGTTAGTGGGACATATTCATTGGAAATCAGCAACTTAGATGTACACATGTACACTGCTTAGTGTGCAGAAATGATCACGCTGTTTGAATCAAATGTGTCTTTCATACCTTCCCGTTTGTAAGAGCTACAAAGGAACAAACGTGGCTTATTTTCACGCTGAAAAGAAGAAAGAATAAACACTGTTTTGGTGTCAGGTCAGGTAAAACACCTGAAGAAGGCTCAACAGCAGAAACGTTTTTTTCTTTCTAGCTTGTTCATTATCATATGTTCATACTGCACTTCAGCCAAGGTTTCACAATGCTTTCTGTAGTTTCTTAAGGTTTTAAATGGCTCCAGTTTACTACACTGAATATCATGATATGCCCCAGAGAGATGTTTCTAAGGAAAACTTACTGTAATACAGGATGGTAAAAAAAACATGAAATTACCAGGAGTGTCCAACCCTGGTATTGAAAGGCCAGATACTCAAACCTGTCTACAAGTTTTCGTTGCAACTTAATGGCCTAAAGCAGTTCATCACTGACTTCCCCGAACCATCACCTGATCCTCCAACCCACAGTAAAACTGAACCACCTCTGAAAGACGTGTCATACATTTTCCAACATTTAGACCTGTACCATGCACGGGACAAGCATAAACAAATATCATATATGTAATAAAGTGTATGGTAAAGTAATTGTGTAAGATAAGTTAGGAAAAACAAACATTAAAATGTTATACCAGTAACCTGAAATATCTAATTTTGATACTTAACAAGAGGCTTTTATGGTTAATCTTTTTGTGATTGTTTTCAAAACTGTTTTAACAATGAAAGCATAAGGGTTTTATTGCCTCAGTTAAAGCTTCTTAAGCTGTCAGAAGCTCAGAAATAAGAAAAATGCTCCCAGCCAGCCATCAAGCTATGGAAACTGCCAAACTTCTGAAGGTTAAAAAATGATTTCACTCCTAAGGTTGTGGCACTAGTGCTTCAACCAGAGCTGACTGACAACCTACTGTACAAACTCCCAAACATGAAAGTGACCCGAACTGCATGTCAGCAGCTTTTCCCATTTGGAATATGTTTTCATTTGCAATTTTTGTTTTTTTGTAAAGAACAGAAAAATCTATTTTTGTCTCATATAAAAACGTATAATATTTTTCTGATGTAAATAATAAGCTTGTTGGGAAAGCTAATGACTTATTTTAGAAAGACAAAAATGTTTGCTGAGAATGTGTTAATGTGTTCTTCATGGTATCACTGTAATTTCTACTGTATATGCGTGACTGAGTATTTAAAACCATTTAATAAAAACACATAAATGTTTTCACTTTGTCCTATTTAAAACATGTAAAAAATAACAAATATATCACATTTGCCAAATATTTGATTAATTAATTATATTAATATGGGACTCAGACACTGCAGTATAACAGGTCAAATAGTTTTTATGAGTTATCATCCACATATTTATAAGATTTGAACAGAATTAAAGGAACAAGCAATCAGGTGCTCTCTCTAGTTTTTAATTTAAAAAGTTAAGAAGTAATATTTTTCTTATCATTGCTATTATTTCTCACATTATCTTTTAAGTACACCACAAATATTAAGTCATTGGGATGAACAGACAACTATTTCTTAAGTTAAGTGACTGCAAGACTAGCCACAAGGCACCTGCTTAATCTTTGAAGTTATACCACCATTGTTTTCAATGAAAACAAATGAGCAGAGCTGTTTAGAGCAGGCAAATTGAGCCCTGGGGAAAGGAAAAGGAAAGGGATGGGTCCAGTGCTGTCACCCACAGGTAATGTCCTGAATTTGTGAGAAGCAGAGCTCATTTAGAAAGTTACCCTCTCCACTCAGGACACTTTGCTGATATGATCCTAAATAAGTGAAGGAGAGGTGGAGCAAGAAATATGTGTTTCAATGGGAAACGATGAAGTCCCAAATGCACATTTCTGAAGGGATACAAATCACTGCACACTGACATGAAAACTCCAAATTGTTGCTCTGCTTAACTGCCAGGACAGTGAAATATCATACAGCCGTGATGAATAGCATCTGGCAGTGTATCCAAACCTATGAAAACTAAACAGGGATCAAACACAGCAGCCACTGTCACATACTGTACAACCATTAAAATCAACACTTGTAGTGTGTTGGACCCTTCTATGTAAGGTATCGATAACGTGCCAGCCCATGGGGCAGATTTCCTTCTTACTGATAAATGAGGCTTTTCCGATATGTGCATCAAACTGTGCTGTCACAGCCTCTCGCAGCTTGGCGTCAGCTATCCTCAGTTCCAAAGCTGAGGTGACCCTCAGTTTTGGTGTTAACCTCCTCCAATAGAGGAGAAGGACCTTTTTAATTAGATCAGTCAGAGCACCTCAGCATTTACAAGTTGTTTTGAAGTTTTGTTCTTTATTATGTTCACTCACTGTAGTAACCCGGTGATTGTGGCTAATCAGCTTTTCAAGAAATACTTTTTGAATCAATGTAATACTTCAGGTCACTGGACAAAAGCACTACTGCAGAGAACATTTTCTACCTTCAAATCTGAGCTGCCAGCCTTTAGTTGCAGATGCTGAGAACTGGCATATATGCTACTTTGCTGTATAACTGCAGGTTACAGCAAGCACACGCTGCCTTCTACTTAGTAATCGTTGTTTTTATATGAGGCAAGGAAGGGTTACAGAAATAGCCTGCAGTAAAAGCTGCAGTCTTGTTGGGAAACCTGTAATTTTCTAAGGCTGAAGTTCATTCTCAGGTCAGGAGCTCATTTTGGGCCCAAAATAAAGTCAATTTTCTCAGAATGACAACTATTGCATGCCTACACCTGTCAGCCTAGATCTGTTCAGGTAATAAGTGTTACAGAGAATTTATTAAAAAATCATTGTTCTGATAGTAAAGCAATATCAACTACATATCAAGATAAAACAAACATATTCTATATGGAGTTACCAAGCAGTACAGCTGTCAGGTAGGCAATGGCTCTGTTGTTTAAACTTCTATATTAGGGACCTATTAGCAAATTCAGTATTAAAACTGTAACTTATTATTACAGTTATATGATTTTAAAAAAAGATTAATGTTTTATGCTTGTGGAAGAATCCCCTTGTATGCATGCCTGTTTGGGGATCTTGGTACTGTATATTAAACCATCTCTAAAGGAGAAATTACAAGGATCCAGGACAAGAAACTAGTTTCATAAATATTTTACACCAAAAAAATGGAAAGGAATAGACCTTTTCAGATGAGATCTAACATAGGCACTGTCAGTCACCTAACTGTAAAATCATAGAGAAACACTGTTGCTCAGGTCCACCTCTAGAAGGGCACCACACCACACCTGAGACAGAGATGCAGACATCAGATTCAGAATTGTACCTTTACAAGATGCTAATCTGCCTGCCCAACAATGACTTTTGACATGTCTCAAAGGTTGATTTTATTGTCTAGGCTGTGTGACAATACCAGTGTATTATCAAATCAGATTTCCTGAGGCCCCCACAGGAAATTGCCCTTACAGTAGGTGTCACAGATTGAAGATTACCAATGTCATAATCAGTATATATAATATACACATCACATCGTTTTAGAAGTTCGTGTGTGGCATAAAGAAGGTCAAACAGACAAAAATCTTACTTTCTGTAATACTGATCTTTCTGTACTCCTTTTTTCAGGTTAGTTACTGTCAGTTTAATTTCTCATTGTAAAATTATATGCAATCTTAAAAAAAAAAACGAATTACTTCTTACAGCAATTATGTTTCCTATTTTCACTTCAGCTCATTTCAATAATCTACCTGCAGAGAAAGGACTGCCTTCCTAAAAGATCACTGTATACATTTTAAAATAACAGAAGTCCTCTGTTGGCTCTCAGGATAACAAATGGGCCGTGAGGACATTTATACCAACTGCTCCCTGTTTTAGGGAGTTATCTGAAAAGGCTGCAGTAACAAGCTCATGTTCTGCCAGCAGCAAAATTCCATCAAACCGTCCTACACTCCTCACTAAGTAGCAGAAGGAAGTGCACTCTGGAAGAGAACTGTGCGCCTCATCAGCTGTCTCTCAGGCAGGTGGTAGCCACAACATGGGAAAAATATCACAGCCTGCATGGAAAAATGCTTGGTCACATTTATAATGTTTTATTAAAAGGTTAATAATAACTCATTTACGGTTGTATTTAGATCACAGCAGTTTAAACAAAGCACAACTGGACAGACACCATAAAAATTGTAATTTGTTGTGCTCTTTTTTACAGTGATAGATTTTAGTTCTGTAGAGTGTTCAACATAGGCATGTAGAATGACATTTTACCAAGTTTCTGTTCCAATGCATAATTTCCACAATTATTACTAATAAAATGTAACTGACAGAGTTTTGGCTTATAGATAAAAAGAGTTGGCAACATGCAAGTCCTGTCTGTTCTGATTTCATGAGAGAACAGCGGGCCTTATTTTGTTTCCCAGTGTTTCAAAAGGTACTCATTCAAAATAAGTCTCAGCTGGCCTCTAACCTACATTTTACACTGAAGTGGTGAATCTATGACACATACTGTCCTCTGTAACAGCAAAACTGGCAACAAACTGCTTGATATTAGATCAGTGATAGATGATTTTGGATGTTTTTTGATAGTTCAAATGTACTGTATGGTACTATCTATAAATTCAGGTTCTAACCAAAAAAATGCCATTTTGCCAGTGAAAGAATGCAAAACAAACTGTTAATCATACATCGTCATGTCGTTTTCAGAACCATGCTTTTATTTTGTCAGTCTAACGCAATTGGTTTTAGAAGCGGTTTAAGGATTGTTGAGTCCTGCTTTGTGTTTAGAGTCAAAACATGTTTTGCTTTTTGTGGTGGCGAAGGGAGACTTTTTAAGCCTAACAGTTTGCCAAAAGTTGTCTTGGGGTTCCAGACGAATTTCAGATTGATTGGGTCTTTCATGCCACCTTAAATATTAATTGGACCTACAAGTCTCGTGAGTTATTTGTGACAAAGTGTTTTTCATCTTCATTAAATACAATTGTTCTTGGAAAAAGCATTAATATCTCTGAGACAGGGCCTGTTACTACTGAAAGTGTATTTAATAAGATTTTAAAGCTGATCTGTGATTGTTTTATTTGCTTATTTTTGGGATACAAGTCAACAAAGTGTGTGTTGTTAATGCATATAAAAGAAAAAGACAACTCCACTTTAAAATACCATACTCCTGAATGTTTCTGCTTTCATTTGAAGACACTAAAGAAGACAAATGTCATAACTTTCACAAAGACACTTGTTTGATCCAGCCCTGCTGATAGCAGAGTGCACACAGAGGACAGTGAGGCATTAATGGGCTGGGAATGGCAGATGGTGACTGCTAGCTATATACTGTGCAGGTTATCTCTCCAGGGCACATTCTGCATAGGAAAGGAGATGGAGAAGCAGCAAACGCTGTCAGGAGGTCATGCAATCCAGCACAGAGGGGCAGGACCCTTTATTTGCACATTAATTTGTACAAAACAAGCAAACACTGAGCCAAGTTCAATGTACAGTATGTACAGTATAAGACTGGGAACTGCTATCCCTTCTGGGAACGTTGGTTACCTTCTGCTGGGGTTCATGAGCCCATCATCTTCTAGCAGGAGTGACAGGATAATAATTAGAATAGAATCAGAAATGTGGCATTAAACAATGATTGTCATGACTACTAAGCTAGTGCAAAAGCAAACTTCAGTTTTTATCATTCTTCTGGTAGTTGTGAATGGAAAGCCCATATGCATCAAAAGTCTCCCATATTTCTGCTGCAAGCATTGTTTAATGATTTTCATATAAATCCCCATTTCTTAAGGAGTCCCCAGAAAGGAATAATCCAATCTGCTGTTTCCCTGTGCTATAAAGGTTGAAAACAAAAAAGGGTGCAAATAACATTAAAATACCATTTTGTGTTACCTACAAAAGTCTCGCATTTAAACTTGGAAAGTTGTAACGAGTCCAAACTGCAGCTGCTTCTGGTTAGTGCATTAGCAAAATGTAAAACACAATTATTCTGACAAACGAGTCTGCAAAAAGGTTATTAGACATCTATGAAAGATACATGTAAATAGGTGATTTATTTATTTTAGCACAGGTTCAAACCACTTTTAAAATACGGCAAAACATTAAGAAGGGGTGTTTCATGCACTCTGGGTTCGTGAGCTTCTACTTGCCTGCGAAGAGGTCATTCTCATGTGGTACCCTCTCAGGTGAGAAGGCTGCCTTGAGAACCTGTCAAAACCATCATGAACCACGGCACATAAACAACCTGCCCCTGTGCTCCTCTAAT